CCAGGGACGATGCTGAAGAATGCTGATAGGCTGATTGGGCCCACCACTGGGTCAGCCCGTGGCCCCTCAGGTGACGTGCTGCCGCGAGCCGGCAAGACTGGCTGTCTCGTTCCGTGGACCCAGCAGGTTGTACAATGTGCTGCTCTGTTCTTGCTTTGTACAGGGCGTGGCATGTGTACCTCCAGCGTGGGCAGCAAGGACCTTTTCCGATGCTATCTCAGGCCTCCGAGGCTTATCGTGCAGAAGCCAAGACCAAGCACATATCGCGCCGGGGGAACAGCTCATCCATACGCTGTTTCAAAGAATGGTTCTGCAATGTGTGCAGGCCATCAGCTCAGACCAGGAGCAGCAGGAGGCAGTCAAGAGCAAAGGATGGATGACCGAGGACGGCCGGCGGGCTTCTCAACGCTGGGACCCACCTAATGGGACACCTGGACCTGGTATCCCTGTTAGGAGCGATGGCGGCGGCGGTGACTCACCAGGTCACGGCGAAAGAGACGTGAACGTCCAAGTTCCTGTTGGAAGTGGGATTGGGGGCCCAGGGTGTCGCGGATGTGTGGGCCGGGCTGGAACAGCTGCAGAACCTTGCCGCATTGCAGTTGTGCGGGATGCAGATTCGCCGCGATGGACTTCGTCGCCCCGACTTGGCGAACGACATTCAGAAGATGCTGGGCGAGTTTTGAGGCATCCCTCACAGCACTGCTCCGACCACATCCAGGCGTGGCGAGATCTCCTTCACGGCCCATCACATGCTACGGTCTACCGTGCTGGACAAAGCTAGTTCGAGGATGGCAGCGGCCAGCCTCCCAACATGATGTCGCCGAATTTCTTCAGCACCTACCCACATGCTTGCCAAACTCAGGCCTCTCATCTTGGCAGGGGAATGGCAATCCAGGCAGATGGCAGGGCCTCAACCATGTGGTCCAGTTAGACAGTGGCAGCTTGATCTCACCCTGTGTTCTGCATCTACGCCCGAATGCTGATGACACGGCTGATCCCTGCAGGGATGTGTGGACAGGTGGCACATGCAGGCTCGCACCACGCATGGTCTGCCTTGTGGTTATGCGATGGTTGCGCTCCAGCTGGCCATATGACTACGGGGACGATGGAGTTCGGAAAGACCGCTCCATCGTGGTGCCGAAGATCACCATACCTCGTGGCCTCAGAACTTTCGAGGCCACGTATACACCAGCTGCGGTTACTGTGCACCATGGCGACTCTCCCAATGCTGGACGTTATACCTCCTTACTAGAGCCGAGCGCTCTGCCCAGGGGTTCATGCTGAGAGACCGATGATGGTAGGCCGGCTCGATCACTCGCTGAATCTCGCTGACTTGCCAACATATGCTGCGCATGATGGCTATGTTTTCATGCTGGCTCGATGCAGGTTCTCCTGAGCGGGGTATGTTCAATCATTCGGCTGATGCGGCATGTACAGGCTACCATCGGCTGAGATGGGAGAACAATTTTGTGCGGTATGGTCCGGAGATCGATGCCGGCCTTTTCAACGATGAATGGCGAAATATTTGGCTGCAGACTGTTGTCCGTATGCACAGTCGGTTATATACGATTTGGTTGCTCGATCTAGGACTTGAAGTGCTCGCAGGTGTTCACATCGGGGCAATTTGTACCGAACTCTGAAATCAGAGTGCGCCGAGGGCGCCAGCAAAAGCCGTCGAGTTGGGACAAAGACAGCAGGAGCAAAGTAGTAATAGTAGCAGCAGTAGTAGTAGTAGTAGTAGTGGTTGTTGTTGTTGTTGCTGTTGTTGTCGGCGTCGTAGTAGTAGGGCGGCAGCAGCAGCAGCAGCAGCGGCGGCAGTAGCAGTAGACGCGGGAGCACAGCAGCAGCAGCAACAGCGGTAGCAGCAGCGGCAGCCAGGAAGTGGTAGTGCCACTACCGAAAACCTCCCTAACCCATGCAATGCAGCGATCAGTTTTTGCCTGTCCTGGACATCGCAGGAATTATAACAAGACCCGCGTGCCTGGAAATGCGGACAGGGGGAAAATCCCCATGAAAGATCTTTAAGGAACTTTAAGGCATGGTAGCGACAATCAAGCAGACAGAAAGCTACCAGTAGCAGCCAGCAGTGCGACGATGCGACACAAACCTTTGCACTTCAAAGGTCTTGCAGGTAATCCGACACTTCATGGTCCCAGCTGCTGGGCCCCGGCAAAGAATCCTCCAACGACCGACTGCCCTGCTTGACCTCCAGGGTCACCTGTGCTCAGAGACCCGAACTCTCACGGTAAGCCTTGTGCTGTCTCCGGGCACCGTCCCAAACCGTCCCACCTCCCAACCAGCCTGCAGTCGCTGTCGCAGCTGCCGTGCTTGCAGAAGTGGAGAAAATGCTTGTGCCGGTGGAAGGAAAGGGAGACCCAAGGAATCCAGCAAAAGGAGCTTGCTCTGTCGCATATGCTGCATTCGGGCCCGAGGTCGAGCCTGAAGACACCAAGTCGACTGGAAGCAACCATTTCTCCAGACTTTCCTTCATCTGGGCCAGAAACGCATCCTCCCATGAAGGCCGCTGAATCTCTCCACCTGCGCCGTCCAGCGTAAAGTAAGGCCGCGTTGTCAACAACTTACCGTTCATAACTCTGAACTACCCGACGCTAACCCGCGAAGCCCGGACACTAGTTTTCGCGACCCACTAAACTTTCAAACTTGATTGCTTGGTGCATCGGTGCCTCTCCCGTTGCTCTCACAGTTGTCTTTGACCTGCTTAGGTTTGGCACGCGGAGGCCCTGCCGGATCGCCGGAAAGCATGTTGAATTCCTCCAGGCTTGCCAATCTGAGTATCCTCTTCTCTACGTGAGTGTCGTGTTCAGGGCAGCTACGTATTACATGCTGAGATACTTCGACCTCGTGTTCAGGAGTACGGGATGCCGAGGCAGAACACAGGATAGGTACCCTTCACGCAATATAGATGATGGAATGCTGGAATAAATACCCTTGAGTCAGCTTGTGGTAGGGCACCGATACACTCTAACTACATCTCCAAGGGGCATCTGTAAGCTTGAAACCCGACGCCCGGTCCTGCAACAAAAAGGTGGCCTTCCGCAAGAAGTCGTGTAGCTCCTCGATCTTCGCAGCGCCGGCGTCCAGTGCCGCACACAACTCCCTGCGACTGTCATCACGCCTGACATCTTCGCGGGGAAGCTGTGGCTTTCGACTTCGTATTCCTTTCAAGAGCTCTAGTACGAGTAGCTCCTTTTAGAGGGAACACGGTCTGAAGCGCGAAGTGCTTGATGTGAGCCGCTACTCTGACCAGCCTCGGCATCGAAGCCGAGGCTACGAAGGCCAAGGCGAACACGAGGCCAAACACTACGACACGCCCGCACACAAATCCCCATGCACTCTTCCTGTGGCCTTTGCAAAAGCTTTTCATCGCAAGCGGATTCCACGGAATCCCTGAGTTCATCTTGAAGTTGGCTGAAGCTCCGGGTCGCCTGCATTCAAGGCTTTCAATTTCAGTTCGTCGGGGCTTCATGGCGCTTGGCTGATTTGATTTGAGCTTCGGCCTCTTCCGGCTTTTTGGAAGGCGGATCGAAGCTAAGCAGGGCTTCGCCGATATGAGTTTATCCGGTTTCGTTTGGGGCTTGGGGTGGCAAAGGCCGCCGTATTGAGGTTCCTGCACATAAGCCGAGAACCGAGCTTGCTCAAGGCCGCATAGATGCATTTGCGAAAGTCTACGTGGACCTGAGCTTCTGATGGTTCAAAACAATTAAGCTCCAGCCGAGGATTGGGGATCTCAGCACTTTCTCGGCCACGTCGCTTTTCCTCTTTATGCTAAGTGCTTGTGTTCACGATGACTGTGAGTTTGATGGCGAAAGATGCATGCTACCGTACAGTGTTACATAACCAACTGAAATGGATGTCGACAGAGGGTCCGAACGACCGGTTCCACATTTACACTGTGAGCATCTAATCGGTGACCTCCAATATGGTTGCGGTGGTTACCGACTACCCTCCCTTGAAGAGGTTTGTAGGTCCTGTTTTGGGCGAAAGCAGGCGCCGCGCCGGGGCCTGCTCAATGGTCGAAGAGAAGGACGGCAAGGAGGACAGCAGGACCTCTGCAAGGCGCACAGCGATCAGGTTTTGCTGACTACAGCAACCTCGCAGCAAAGGTTTATGCAGGGAAACACAACGAATGACTACGATGAGGTACCTTCGTTGCAAGGAATTTCATTGGCATCTGCCACCGGATAAAACTTTCGCGCGACTCTCGGATGCCACATTCAAGCCAATATCACTCTCAACGGCCTCAGCCAAACCCTGAAGGCTCGACGCGCTCACTCCCCTCGGAACACAACACAATGCCAGACTTCAGGCAGAACACACCTAATGACCCAATGCCACGAACAAATCTCTCCAATGTGCCGGCCTTCTCTTCAGCATTCCTAGCAAGCACGGCCATGTACTCGGCCGTCTCAACACGCCTCAGGCGATGCACGGCTTAGCCGAAATGTAAGGTCTATCACGGACGCGATTTCCCAGGGCCTCTATGACTTGTCCTGGTCGAAAGTGCAGCAGCTCTTACCGGACAAGCCGGGCAAAGAATAGGCCACTGACCATCTGACATGGCTGCTGTTAACACGAAGCAGACGTGAGTCTGTCTGTTAGGGTTTTCTGCTGGCGCCTTGCTCATGGCCCTTGACGCTTCAGAACAGGATCAAAGCTCCTTCGGTTTCCCCGTGGCAGTGTTTTTGAAGTCGACCATTCGGGCTCCACCCCAGTCTTCTGCACCTGCGAAAGCCCTAAAATCCCAAAGGGCGACCGAAAAACTGAATGATTCCGGAGGACTACATGTGCTCAGACTAGACACGTTGTGATTCCTGTTGCTTACACAAGCACACACACACACATACATCGGAAATGCTTGTAACTGCGGTTCCTTAAGAGTCCCGAAAGAAGTAGTAGGTTTGTCAGAACAAACCCAAACTCCACTAAGACGCAGCAGAAAACAAAACAACACCCGACATCCGTTTAAGCAGGACATCCGATTTCGCATCAGCGCATCAACAGGACCTGAACTTGCTCCATCATTGCCCTTTCATGATCAGTTTCGCTAGTGGGTGTAATGTATATCCTGCATGAACATAAAATCCCACTCGAGCCCCGATCATACACTGGCCTGAGCTACAACTTGACTGCCTTGACTGCATTCTAGCCGGTAACCCAAGCGGCAACCTAAGCCCTCTGTAGCCTGAGTCGCTCGATGCTGGGCATCGGCCTGGCATCGTCTCGAAGAGATGCCAGTTTCCGGTAGCTTGACACCTGCGCAAGACTTGGGCCTCGGGGCTTGGTGCAGAAAAAGTTTTTAGTTCAGGCTTCAGGCTATGAGGCTGTGAGTCTTCGTGCTCGTCTGTCCGTCCGAACTCAGAAATGTTGCATTCGGGGCTGGACCTGGGCACCTCCTACGATCCCCCGCCATCCCTTGTTGACCTAGGCCCCGCAACGGCCCCCAGCCCCCGTTGCCCCCCGCTTTGCCTCGCTTGAGAGCAGGAGCTCTGCATTTGGAGCATCGACGGCGAGGCTGGGCGGGCGGTGGAAGACCTGAGAGCGGAGAGCGAGCGCGCGCTTGGGAGCTTCTATAGTAGGACGTTTTGAGGGCAACAAGCTTTTTTTGGGGGCACAATTCCTCAAAAGGCTGTGAACGGCTCGTTCCAGATTTGGACTTGGGTTTGTTGGGACCGAACACTTGAGCGGAGGTCTGCGCCCCTACTTCGCAAGAGCCCCTGCAAAGTACTCATCTAGATGTTGTTTGCCACACATGCCTGCTAGGGAGGCGAGGAGAAGCCTGATCCCACTGCATCCGTGGCTTTCAGACTTCAGAATGGGCACGAAGAGTCAGCGAAGGGAGATGCAGCCATGCAGGAAGCTCAAGCAAGCTCCATCCGAACGCATTGTCGAAAAAGCACCAGCATACATATTTACCACAAATCCCATGTCCGGAACTGCTATCTGTTGGAAGCCCAAGTTGCTTGGCGCACCGTTTGGTTCTTGGACGTCTGGGTCATGGCCTACTTGCGGGCAAAAGCTTTTTTGACTGGGTTCCTTGTTTGTGCGTTTATGAGGACCATTTTTCAGCCGCTTGGGTTTTGGCGCCATTCCCGCACCAGAACGCCCTTGTCGGGGACCTCTGGGATTTGCAGAGCTAAACCCACACCAACCTAATTACCTTGGTACCGAAAGAATCAGCACTCCGCAGGAGCCGCAGGACTACATCATGCTTGAACCTAATGAAGCACTGCAAAGGCAAGCACCAACAAGACAAGACCGTAAGATGCATGGTTGCGTAGTACAAAGCTTGTCTCAACAAAAATTGGCGTCTCACGGCAGTCGGAGCTTGCGAGGCCGCAGAAATGGTGTAGTTTACCATGCAGCCCATCAAGTGGCAGAAATGTGGTTGCGTAGTAAGGCGTAGTACTTCTGAACAAGATATGGTGGCTGCCATGCCGACTTGGTGCTGCAATCTTGAGCTGCGGAACGGCGCACCGAACCAATTAAGCCGCAGAAATACCTCTTCCCCACACCCTCAAAATCAAGACTTGAATTTCAGGGAGAACTGGTCCCTCCTCGAAGTCCACCGCGTAGCCATTGTTGCAGGTTACCTGGCGCGAGCTTCCGAGCAGTCTAAGGCTGGTGCCAGCACAGCCTGGTTTCAGCAATGTCGCTCGATCTTTCTGCCGCAGGCCGCCCTGCTAATAAAAGAGAAAAGTATCCTGGGACAGGTTTGGGCCTCTGGCGTTGAAAAGTTCGTACCCAAAAGTTGCTGGCTTGAACAGGCGCACCCTAAACAGCAGGAGCACGCGGCGAAGATGCCCAGTCCCTTTCATGCCGAGACACCGGCAGCCAGCTCGTCCCCTGTCGTGCTGCCCAAGCAGAGTTCAGGGTGACCTGATCTTCGACTCCATAAGGCTCCTGCGTTCCGTCGTCCTGTAGCCAGGGCGGATGCGAATCGAGGTACCTCTACTTGGCTACTACATCGTTCGTTGCGCTTGGGATGCCCAGAGGAAGAACCCTTTGCATCACGACCCGGCTGCTGCCTGCAGAACGCAGAGGGAACACTGCTTCATACAGTCATATAGTGGTTAGCTCAAAGACTGTTGAAGAGTCCAGGCCCTTGTCGGGTCTTGGCTTTAGAACCGACCCTGCATTTTGAAACAGCTATGGGCTGTCCTCGAGCCATGCTTTAGACTTTAGACACTAAACCTGAAACTCTTCATGCCTCTGATCTGGCAACTTTCAATTTCCGTTCTAAGATTATCGCTAGAAGCCCTTTCCGAATTCGGAATTCGACAAAACCAAACTCGCGACAGAACCCAGTCCTGCTGGAAGTACCAAACTTTTGACACGGTTGTGAGCTGGACCGTCTTCACGGGGTGGCAATACAAGACCTCGACCTGCGGCCCCATGCCAAACGTGAGGGTTTGTAAGCGTAAGCATCCATGCTTCTGGCATCGCAAAAGAAAGGGCCCTAGTCTGTTGTGATCTACGTGCCGAGCCAACCCTAACCCCCTCAAACCCAAGTCCACGCAACCCTATACAACCCTCTCTCTCTCTCTCTGCCTTTCTCTTGCGGCTCCACTGCCTGTCAAGAGCATCACACACCGCATCAGAGGTAAGCATCCGCACAACCCTACACCTGAAACTCCGGAATGTACCATTTCATCATTTGCATCGGGAGATATTCTCAGCTCAGCCTCCAGCCCCGGGTAGGAGGTGCAGGTGCCCTTCACGAAAGCCACCTCCACCTGGCAACTAGGAGACTGGGCCTCATGAGTATGTCGTATATATATATATATATATATGTATGTGTGTGTACATATGTATATGTATGTGCATGCGTAACCGTATGCATATGTGCGTATGTATAGCATATGTTTGAATGTATGCGTATGTGCATGGCCATGTGCATATATATATATATATATATATATATGTGTGTGTGTGTGTGTGTGTGGATGTATAATATGCGTTTGCATATGTACATGTATATGTACATGTATGTATATATATATATACATATGCTTCCCCCCCCCCTCAAAGATCCGCGCGTTTTGGCTTTATTCGGAAGGAACCCCCCCCAATATGAGTCGCAATTTGTTCTTAGTCGGAAGGAACGCCCTCAAATATGATTCGCGCGTTTTGGCCTTATTCGGAAAGAACCCCCTCAAATATGACTCAATTAATCCGAAACAACCCTTCCATTCCACAGCATTGCCGGAGTACCATTCCACAGCATTGCCGGATTACCCTTGGTACCCACATCACTTACAACAGCATGTAGCTGCAGTATTTGTAAACCCTTATGCATGTCTCTTTGCATATGGACACGGGTGATGGACATAAAGCGTAAACTTTCCGAGGGAGGAATATGCGAATACAAACGAACACGACTGCACCTCTGAAATGAAAAGACAACGACAATGTGGACCGGGTGATCGGTGATGGAGACAAACGGTGGCACAATGATCGTGACTTTAGGGTCTGTTTAGCTAGTTTTTTATATAGACAATATCAAACGCTTAGCTAAATGCTACATAGCCATATCACGCATTCTACAAACCGAAACCCAGAAAGTTTCGCACTGATTCAGACATAGAATTAAAAGCACAAATGTCAAATTTCAGGTTCGTCCACGCATCCCGGCACGCTCGCATGCAGGATATTGCTATGCACCTGTTTACCTTTGATATCGGTCGTCATCGTGTCTGAAAACAATTATGCCACTGGTTTCAACAACTGTACTATCCCTCGGTGTATGAGCACAAGAAGATTCCTGGCATTCGTAGTCTCATGTCAAAGACTGGATATGGCATCCATACATCATCATATGCTGTTCCTCTGTCAATATGATACGCAACAGTTTGCATTCGGTCCAGGATAATTTTCTATATAAATGTTGCAACACAGAAGGTTGTGATTGCTAGTTTGTACATGTGTACATCAGATATGGTCCTCAGGTATGAAATCTTACCTTACCCATAGGCAATGCGTCAAGGACAGGGGTTCTCTGGCTAAACAGCCACCAGGCCAATCCATGAAGCTAATGACACGGTGCACAGTTACCACTCCTCCATAGCATATAACTGCCGGCCTGACATGCATATTGTCTTGCATATGTCAGCCCATGGATATGACACAAAAATGTAATATCTTCATGGCATGTTGGAGAAAAAACAAGTACGCAAATACTCCGGCATCGACATCGACCACGAAGATCTGGGTTTCTATATAGAGGATCTACAAAGTTTCTATATGGAATCTATAGAACTTTCGATATGGGCCCATATGAGGGATCTACAAGGGGTTTCTAATGGGTTTTTTTGCAATGGATGTACAAGGTGTCTATAAGGAATATAAACGGGTTTGCTATAAGGGCTCCATATGAGGGATCCATAATGAGTTTCTAGAAACTCTCTCTATAGGGATCTATAGTTTTTCTATATCATGGGTTTCTATAAGGTCTCTACATAGAGGATCTATAAGATTTCAAGAAGGAATCTGTAAGGGTTTCTACATGGGCCCAAAATGAGGGATCTATACCGGGCTTCTATGTGGTTTCTAGAGGGGGGAAAACCACATAGAGGGGAATCTACTAGTTTTCATAAGGAGTATATAAAAAGTTGTCTATGAAGGCTCCGTGCAAGGAATCTCTCAAAGTTTTCTATAAAGAACTCCATTTGTGGATCTATAAGGGGCTTCTGTAACTCTCTATATAAGGGATCTATAAAGTTTCTATAAGAATCTATAAAGGCTGTCTATGAGGGCTCCATATCAGGGATCTATAGGGAGCTCCCATAAGGTTCTACGATGGGGCTCTGCAATGCAAGGACTTCTATAATGAATCCATAAGGATTCTCCATAAGGGATCTATACGGGATCTCTATAAGGTCTCTATAGGGAATTCATAAGGCTTCTAGAGAGAATCTATAACGGTTATTTGGAACGGCTCCAAAACAGAGCTGTATGAGGGTTTTCCATAAGGTCGTTATAGATGGGATCTATTCTTCAAGGTGTTCATAAGGCCGCTGTTTTGGGAACCCACACGGTTTCGGAACGGAATCTGTAACAGAGTTCTATAAGGGATCTATGAGGGGTTTCTCGAAGGTTTCTATACAGGGGATCTATAAGGTTTCTATAAGGAATCTATGGTTTTTCTATACGGGCTCCATATAAGGTCTATAAGGTCTTTATATAGGGAATCTGTAAGGTTTCTATAAAAAAAAATCTATAAGGGAATCTGTAGGGTTTCTATAAAGAGTCTATAAGGGTTTAGGATTCTCGACACGGTCTCTACACAGGGGATAGACAAATTTTCTAATAAGGAATATTTATCAGGGTTGTTGAGAAAGGAGGGGGAAGGTGGGGAGGTGAAAAGAGAGAAGGGGAGGGAAGGGGAGAGGGATGGGAAGGGCTGTTGCCGGCAACACATCGAGTATTAGATCTCGGATGCAGGCCTTAGCCCCGGTACAAACCGGTACAACCGGTACAAGTTGTACCGGTCTTCTCCTGGAACCTTGGAAGGGTCCCCCCGGTACAAACCGGTACAACCGGTACAAGTTGTACCGGGGGAATCCAAGATTCCAAGATTCCAAGATTGCTGCGAACTCTTTCTCGGAATCTTGGATACCGGAGCCCATCCAGTTCCAGGATTCCAAAAAAGACTCCGCAGCAATCTTGGAATCTTGGAATCTTGGATTCCCCCGGTACAACTTGTACCGGTTGTACCGGTTTGTACCGGGGCTAAGGGGCCAAGGCCTGTACCCACTATCTTTGGAGCGGAGTTTGCCCAACCATGTGTGTGTGTCTGCTAAATGTTGTGGTATTCACGTAGGAAGACACACATACAGACGACATGAAGAACAAACAAACGGGGATGGCACACGAAGAGCTGGAAACAGACAGAAAGCGTGGATCTTTGGGGGGGGGGGGGGTACCATACATATATATATATATATGCTTAGCCTCTAGTCATGCATATATGGACGACCGTAGAGCGGCTCTCGGCTCAGGTGCCGGCGTGTGACATCCATGGGTGCAAGCGACAGGCTGGCGGCTATCGTTACGAGTTTATTGAGAAGCTAGGCGGCTTGCAACGATATGTGAGCACGTCCCTGTCGTGGTTGCAAGACACAAGACCACGGTGCTGCAGCTCCGAGCCATGGCGTACAAGTCCGTGAACCCGCGAAAACCCGATCCCTTCCTGGGCACTTCCGACCCACTCTCGACAGCAGCTCGCCTGGCAGCTTGTGTTTAGCTGCAAACCAGTAATGTCCACGACCGTCTTGGCAACCTCCTTGTCCACGGCCTGCCTCGTCGAGAAGCTATTAGAGTAGTGGAAAGCATGCCGCATTGTACCGCGAATCGATATCCTGTCATTCTGCCTACAAGGATGCTCTAAGAGCAGGTTCCTCCGACTAGCAGCACAAATTGTGACTTGCAAGGGTTGGAGATGCTGGGGACTCAGAGGCCCACCGCGCAGTTTACCGCCCGATCGTCACTTGCAAGGAACGGTGGCAAGACGATGTGTGCTTGCCATGGCAACATATCAAAAACAACATGATTTAGAGTCGCGGCTGCCTCCTCTCAAATAGCAATCGACTCTAAATGGAAAAGCACGAAGTAGAAGGTGGCACCTACCCCAAATCCAAATCCGTGAAAGTGAAAGACCACGGAGTCCGTCTCACATCACCCGAGCCTCGTCCAAGATCTGTCCAGCTCGACCCGGGCAGGAGATGACTTCGGTGGCACCACCCGGTGCCAAAGCTCGCCGCTCTGGGGCGTCTGGACCTCGTTCAAGCCAGGATGATTTGGCCTTTATGAATGATTGATATCGGCGGGCTTGAGAGTTCAAGGATGTTCAATGCAGTTGAGCCTCAAATCCACAACTTACCCTTTATCGTAAACCGCTCCGACCGTGGTCCCAACTTGCCTCCAGGTGGAGAAGGCAGCCTCTCTTCTTGCAGAAGGATGAACTGGTTTCTAAGACGGTGATGTCGCAAAGAAGGCTCTCAACAGAAGGAGCTCGGCTGCGACCTGTCTGGGGCTCAGGACTTGAAGCTTTGTCTTGCCGCAGGCTCGACGGCGAAAGGCTTTCAGGCTTCAAGTTTAGGGCTCGTAGATTTTGCCTGGCTCTGTGCCTTGAGAATTCGTCAATGCGTTTGGGAGCTTCAGCGCCTGGATCGGCTCAGTGTCGGCCGAGGGTTCGATGGCTCAACAAAGCTTCACTATTTTTGACAACAAATTTGAAAAAACGTCGAAATCGCTTGATAGATTCCGAAAGCCGCTCTGCCTCTTCCGGCAGTGACGGATTTCGCAAAAAGTCCTTCACTCGAACCCAGCCAGTGAGACCTTAAGCATGTCCAAATCCCCTTCCGTGCACCACACGACACCATCAGTCCTACCCAGTCAGATCTGACGGATTTCCGAAAATCCTTCAGCCCACCGCGTTGCACCTTCAGTCCCACCCGGTGAGACCTGAAGGAATTCCGAAAATCCTTCAGCCCACCACGTAGCACCTTCAGTCCCACCCGGTGAGACCTGAAGGATTTCCGAAAATCCTTCAGCCCACCACGTGGCACCTTCAGTCCCACCCGGTGAGACCTGAAGGATTTCCCAAAATCCTTGAGCCCACCACGTGGCACCTTCAGTCCCATCCGGTGAGACCTGAAGGATTTCCGAAAATCCTGCAGCCAAGCACGTGGCACCTTCAGCCCCACCTGGTGAGACCTGAAGGATTTCCAAACACACGTGGCACCTTCAGTCCCACCCGGTAAGACCTGAAGGATTTCCGAAAATCCTTCAGCCCAGCACGTGGCACCTTCAGTCCCACCCGGTGAGACCTGAAGGATTTCCGAAAACCCTTGAGCCCACCGCGTTGCACCTTCAGTCCCACCGCGGTGAGACCCGAAGGATTTCCGAAAATCCTTCAGCCCACCGCGTTGCACCTTCAGTCCCACCCGGTGAGACCTGAAGGATTTCCGAAAATCCTTCAGCCCGCCACGTGGCACCTTCAGTCCCACCCGGTGACACCTGAAGGATTTCCGAAAATCCTTCAGCCCACCACGTTGCACCTTCAGTCCCACCCGGTGAGACCTGAAGCATTTCCGAAAATCCTTCAGCCAACCACGTGGCACCTTCAGTACCACCGGTGAGACCTGAAGGATTTCCGAAAACCCTTGAGCCCACCGCGTTGCACCTTCAGTTCCACCCGGTGAGACCTGAAGGATTTCCGAAAATCCTTCAGCCCACCGCGTTGCACCTTCAGTCCCACCCGGTGAGACCTGAAGGATTTCCGAAAATCCTTCAGCCCACCGCGTTGCACCTTCAGTCCCACCCGGTGAGACCTCAAGGATTTCCGAAAATCCTTCAGCCAACCACGTGGCACCTTCAGTACCACCGGTGAGACCTGAAGGATTTCCGAAAACCCTTGAGCCCACCGCGTTGCACCTTCAGTTCCACCCGGTGAGACCTGAAGGATTTCCGAAAATCCTTCAGCCCACCGCGTTGCACCTTCAGTCCCACCCGGTGACACCTGAAGGATTTCCGAAAATCCTTCAGCCCACCACGTGGCACCTTGAGCCCCACCCGGTATATGCAGTCCCGTTTAGCCAACTCCCACGCCCCAGTCCGTGGCATTGAAAAAACTGTTATTTAGGTCCACATGGAACCCCGACACCAGGGTGCAGATCCCAGCTCGAACGCAGCGTCATCTCAAGACTGGGCTCGTGGCAGCCCTTGATTCCCAAAGCCCTGATTTCCCCAAGCCCGGCTCGAGCCCTCAAGCCTTGGGCTCCCTGGGCCCTGAGTACTCAGAGCAATTTCGAAGCTCCCGGTACCGGTAGCCCAGCCTGCCACGCTGTCGTCTTCCTGCTCCGATGCTGTGCCCGCCGCACCTCTGCAGAGATCCATTCAAGGAGTGGCTTTGGGTTTCAGCTCGTGGGTTTAGGGTTTTGGCACGAGGGCTTTGTGAACTTTCGCGCTTAGGGGTTTGGGATATGGAAACAGGAAGTGAAGCAACAACCCTGCGCCTTGCTCGCCGACCTCGGTCAGCACCACTGCAGGCGACTCACTGTGAAGGTGCCGCTGCAGCCTGTAGAAGATATTTTCAGCATGGAATAAAGGTACTTTTAGTCTCATACTAGCGGCGATATCCACCGCATCGCGATATATGAAAGGGCCACACAGTCCAAGATGCCAAACACCAGGCTTCGGGGTTCAATGCAGGGCCGAAACCTTAAATAATGGAAACACACACCAACACAAGGAGAACACTACGAACTTCCCTCACATAACGAGAAGCCTCGGTCATGCAGACTGCAGTGCACTACATTATCGGTGAGTATGATGGCCCCGTGCCCCTCCTATCTCCAAGCACCTGTTCATTCGTCGGACAGAGCAGAGTCAAGAGAACTAAACACGTCGCTGTGACCGCGAAAAACTCTAAGTGCAGCGTATTGAATGGAAAGAGCAGTGCCGCGGACGTCAAACCTCCCAAATACATGACTGTGCCAGCCGCGCGACATACGCACACTCAGCAACTGAGTATCTCAAAAAGAAACAAATCCAAAGTCGTAACCTTTCCGTCTGATTCCTCTGCGACCCCAAACGAGCAACCCACGGCTGTCGCTCCACTCGACGTCGTCCTTTGCGCAGATTTGAACCTGGCAGGACTGCGGCACATCTGCTTCAGATTGTACACGTCACTTGAAACACACAACAAGAGGAACCACACTGAAAAATGCGTAGATGGTTAGTTGGATACATGAGCAACTATATATATATATATATATATATATTATATCTGTGTGTGTGTGTCTGTGTGTCTGACCGTCCACTCCTTACAGCCCTAAACCCTACCCAACCTCCAGTTGATCTGCTCCGCGGAGGCGAACCCGGATCATGCCGACCTGGACAGATCGGCACTGCTGGCCTTCGAGCTCAAAAGCACTGCTGTCCAATCAAAACCCCTTGTTGAGGACTGAAGTGATATGGCTCCACATAGCACAACGAAACAAACAGCCAAAACGAACCACAAGTGTTCGGGGAACCTCCCTATATACGTCTGCTGTCTCAAGGGCGTCTTCATCCGCCATGTGCATCCAGCGCACCTCGCGAGCTACTCTCCGCCAAGAAGGCAAGTCCCTTAAACCAAAAAAGAAACCTGAATGACTAGGCTCGTGCTGCAGAGATGCTAACGGAACTTCTATCACAAAAGCACGGAGGCTACCCGCTACCCTTGTCCCAGGGCAAGCACCTCCTCGAAGGACTTTTCTAGGCAGGCCGGCACCAGCGCAAATCTATCCCCTACCTCGGTGCAAAAAGAAGGGCAGGACACGAGTGTGCCGAGCTTGGCATCACCTTGTTTTGGCCGAGGTTTGGAGTCTATGCTTCCGATCTTGTTTGGGACTTTGAGCTGAAAGATGTCGGGTCGACACACCACAAAGCACTGTTGCTGTGGAGGATCTTTCAAGCGTGGTCATCAGTTCTCGTCAGCGGCAATCAGAACCAGTACAAGCCCAAGCAACTAATGCAGCCACAGCAAACAATACCAAGGCAAATACCATGCGAAGCAGGAGGACTGCGACAAGAGCATAGTCATTGTAGTCATGCTGCCAAACAGTACACACACCACATTTCCTACTGCAAGAACAAAACAACAATACAGGCTTTTTGGGACTGCTACTTGTTGCATATCTATGCATGTCTGAAGTCCTCCCAGCTGCTTCATCCACAAATGGCTCGTAGTTCGACTCCTGGTCTGGGTGCTCAGGCAACAAAAACAAGCTGCTAAATTCGCTGCTGCTGCTGTACTTAGTTGCTTGCTGTTGTCGTCGTTCTCGCCCTGCAGATGGCGGTAGCATCGCTTCAACCACGATGCAGTGACAACGGCTTGCACGCCAACACTTGAAAGACTCGAGGCGGCCTGCAGTGCCTTAACATTCTGGGCACATTCTGCACCAGCTCAAGAGCTCAAGCTCCTCCCCGAAATGGCGACCGAGAATCTGGAGCATCGGGCGCGCTTGCATAGACAGTCCCCTGCCACGGGGCATAGTCGCACCACGTTAATTCGGTGCCCCACATGAGAGACTGCAGGCAGGTGGTACAACAAAAGGCTGCAACAAGGTGGCCGCTGCTGATCTGCTTATAAAAATCTTGGTTGTGAGCCCAGCTTGCTCCGAAGCTTTAAAGGCCGGAAGAATCTACCCAAGCAAGCACATGTCAAACCTTTCAGAAGCGACTCGCCGCCAGAATTTTCCGGCCAACAAAGCCCACAGATTGCATTCTTCAGATCTGTCGGTGCTCCACGAGGCAAGAGCTGCCCAGCTCCACTGGCTTGGGCATCGGCTTTTCTACAACTGCTTGTGTCCCATTGTCCCTGACTTACTTGCGGTTGCATCTGTGTCCTGACATTGCGGCGAAAAACTCAGCAATGACTTCAATGCAACCACTATGTCAGTTGAAAAGCCAAAGCTGCCCCGCCGCCAAGAGGCGGAAGGATTTACCGTTTGCTCGGTGGTTGCGCCTGCCACCAATGTTCAGCAAGGCTGCCCACGACCTCCGCATCCATCCGCTTCAGAGTTCCTGTCCTCAGGCACGTGATTCGGCTTTCTGCTGCTGTGGCAGGCGCGCGGTGCTGCCAGGATCTGCTACCGAGTTGTGGAGGTGCGGGGTCATGCAGGGCCGCAGCATTTCAATTGTCAAGTGTGTCGGCTCACCACACGACTCGTCGGACTGTGTGGCTGCCGCTTCCCTTCATCTCAATCTAGCAGGGGTTTTTTGGCCGAGTGTGCACTACAGTTTACAGCCTTTTTTGCCTGCAGCCCATTTGTGCTTCAGTGGCATCACCGAGCAGAGTCATGCCGGTCTCCTTTGCGTTGGCCGAGGCTCAGGAAGCCTCCGCGCTGTGGGGCCTCGCAGTACCGGCAGCTGTCCGTGTCGACGGAGTCCGGGCGAATCCATAAGTGGCCCTGCCGAGCTGTCCAAGACTGCAACGGTGAGACTTCGAGGCTCAAGATGGAGAGTATAGAAAATCATCTTCTTAAGCCTCCCTGTCCCTGACTTTTATGCGACGGTCTTAGAGGCTTCTAATACTTGTCGTTGAAGGTACTAGCCGACTAGCCGTAAACCCTCGAGTCATCGCAGCTTCCGTCGGCCTGGCGGTTGCACCAAAGGCCATTCACGGAGCTTGGGCCCCACAGGCCCTCTCCAGGCACCTTGCTGACCAACTGGTCATACCTTGTGTTCAAGAAAGCAGAAGAGTTGGGTGTTTCAGGCTATCTTTCTCTCAAGGCTTGATGTGGATTTTCGGCGAGTCTACAGCCAGGCCAGGCATGATGAAATTCTGTGATGTTGCCTGGCTATCAAGACCAAAGATCGTCGCAAAACAAGGCTCGCGCATGAGAACAGACCCCCCAGGTCTGAAAACCGTTCAACAGACAAAGGCATGTTGAGAGAATGTTTAACATCGAAACCCTCAACCAACTCAACCGACCCTCAAGCCCGGAAGACTAAAAGGCTTGAAAACCATTCCGACTTCTCGGAAGCGCCTCGCGGCCCTCGGGCGCGGATCCAGGTTCTCCCACCGCACCCAGAAGATGCCATCGGAAGAGAGGCCTACGCCAGGCATGCGGCCATATACTCCAGTTTCAAAGCTCTTGCGGGCTTTCGGTGGCTTTAGGGGTGAGGGTGTTTATGCGATTTTTTCGGGGGATAAGTGGATGTCGAGTTGGGGTTTCGGGGTTTGCGGTGCCAACCCACAAGTTCAGGGGGGTGTTTGTCAGAAGCGCTCTTGGTGTTGTGTTGGACTTTCTGGGTTCACAAAAACGTCCTCCACTATAGTCTTCGTCGTCGTAACTGGCTTTCTGAAATCAGCCCGGAGTACTTAATTATAGGATCGATGAGTATTGATACCCGATATATTGGGATCAATGCAACACCCTAAACTCGAAGGTGTTCCCATCGCAAGATGGCAGCAGAGTTTGCCGAAACAGAAAGCGTTGCTTAACACGTCCTTGAAAGTTGATGGGTGTGACTCCGCGTGAGACTGAGCCGTGCCGTGATGTATACAACTCTGTTGACCTCAGCATCACCAGCCGAACCCTAACTCCAGGTGCCCGAATTCCAGCAACCGCAAGCTAAGCCCGAGTGTCGTTTCGTGTGAAACGGGCACCGCCCCGCGCCCCAATCCACCTGTGACTGTGCCTTCCTGCCCGCGCCGAACGATATTCAAGTCAGCCTGCGCCTTGAGGGTTGAGTGTGCTGGGGTCGAAACGAGGTTTGCCTCCCACTACCTAGGCCCGCTCTCGCGTGAGTTTCCGTGCTATAACGATTGGATTCTGCAGTAGGGCCTTCGAAAGCAGGATGAGATTCCGATCAGATCCCATGAGGTGGTGTGCAGCTAGGAGTAGCGGGTCGAGCCGTGCCTGCGTTTTGGAAGGGTCTGGAATCAGAGTCGAAGTGGGGGTCAACTGTTCCAGACATGTGTTCGGGCCTAATGTCACTTGGTGTCGCCAATTGAAAGAATGGGCTGCTGGACGCCAGGCGCTAGTTGGGGTTTTCTGAATTTTCTGAATCGGAGACGATTACAGATGCGCCGTCTGCACAGTCCGGAATCCAGGCAGATGAAAATGCACGAGACAGTGGACCGAAGAAGTATAGACCCCAGCAGACAAGCACTTCCAACTCCGTCTTGCACCTGCCTGGTTGTCACACCAACTGCCAGCATCAGCATAAGGAATCTCAGTGGCAGCGCGGACCTGACTTGTGCAGCTTGAACTATGCAAGGTCGGTGTGCTGGTTGCATGCTACGTGGCAACATCGTCAACCTCACGCGCAGTGGCTCAACCTATCCGGTTGGCCCCCATGCTACGAATACAACCAACGTGAACAGAAGCCACTGCTCCGGGTGAATGACACACTGCACCAAGCTCGTTCGGTGTTTGGGGTCCGTTGCGGAAGGGACCAGCAAGTTGGAACCTATATGCGCCGCCAACTCTCCCAAGCCTTAATCGAGTAGCATTCTTTAGAGTTTCGCAGCACCGCAGAATGACTCTAAGAAGCATTCCTTGTGTTGAGACACTTCAATGTCTGCAACCCCAACATTTGTCCTGGACCAAGATACATGTTCGGATGATGGTACGTAGAAATCGCATTGTGCCGGCTTCTTTTTGCGTTGCTTGCATGAAGTTGCGCATCGAGGTCGAGCCTGTGAGCTAACGAGCACATCCTCACTAAACATGGTAGGAGTTCGGACTTATGGCTGGGTATATGTAGACGTTCCGCCTGTAAGGTTCTAAATTCAGCAACCATTTCGGAAACGGTGCTAAGCTGTTGATGCCCCTATAGACGCTTGTGAAGGGGTTCCTTCAGGTTTCAAGCGCTGCGTGTTTGGAGGGCTCCTGTCCAGGATTGTCCAGGGGCGAAAATTGGAACTCAAGACTGATTGTGGACGGAGGGCATGACGACCCCAGGCGGGCGCTTCACAGCCGTGTGGACGAATATCCTGGCGGCGTGGGGCCGCAAGAATTAATGTCGTGCTATGGGTTTCTCTGCCTGTGGTAATCCTCTTCACGAATATACCCGAAGTACCCCGCATGTTCGTGAAACCCAAGGAGGACAGGCGGAAGGTGAAATGGCGAGCTAACCAGCTATTGAATCGAAATGCACGGCAAAACAGCCTCAGTCGACACCCGCAGCCTGGACCTGGCAATTAAACATGCCCAGAGAAAAGGGGAGGGGTTTGGCGACTTGTCTTCCCTTGAACCTTGTTAAGTACTGCAATGGCGGGTGTCCAGCAGCTGGAGGCATTTTGATAAAGCGCCACGTGGGCCTTGCAGTGAGCGATGCCTGCGATACAGTGGCATGGTATTCGGCTCAAAAACGGAAGTTGAAGTCACGGGAAAGTCTGACGGTCAGGGCTGTCGCCACTGAGATCGAATCCTCAAAGGCCCTCAACTCGTGTGGGGTTCCAGTTGCTTGTAGCACCTGTGCATCCACATCTTGTCGCCGAAACCTGCATGGCATGCCGCCGCCTAGGAGCAAACAACCCAAGCCGCGGCCTCTACTTACTAATGATTGATGAGTCTTGCTAATCTGTGATGGAGCTGCGAAAAGCCCTCTGGAAAACCAGTGCGCTGACAGTTCAGTGCACTTCGCAAAATCGTTTCGAACATGTTGCCTTGGAATCTGAAGAATGCACACAAATGGTCCTCACTCACCGGTCGTGGCTGCTCGTCATCTGACCCCCACCTCACCGAGGTCAAGGGCTTCGCCGCTTTGGGTTGCAGCGTAGGTTCAGAAACAGAGCTTAAATCCTGAACCCGCATCCTCCTAATGCTGCGCGAGAATGATATCGAGAGACTTCAGCAGGTACTGCTGACCCCAAGTTGCGGCCACGACTAGCGTCGGCAGCAATGGCCTAGACCTAGACGACTAGATGGACAGCTTACATTGAGTGGAACCCTAAACCTGAAACGGTCGACTCCGGGATCTTGGGCTTCGCGGGTGATGTTGAGGAGTTTCTGAAGTCGACTGCGGTTCGCACGGCCGCTGCAAGTTCGATCTGCCAATATACCGGCTGTTGGGAAATATGCTTGGGAATTATCAGAACAAGATTCGGCAACATAGCGGAGCGCCCATGGAAGAACATCCTGCTAGCATCTGTGCTGAAACCTACCATATCCACTCATGGAGCATCGTTCACTTTAAGAGGTTGCGGAGCAACTCCTGCGAACAATCCAAACGAGAAAACCCGGCACTGCTGTTACCCCATAAATAACCCGAAAACAACACTCCACAAGGCGCTTAAGTACACGCTCGAGTCTTTTATACATGTCAGTTCCGACCATGTTGAGTTGCCTGCGCAAGTTTTTTTGCTACGATGCATGCTGCCAGGGTTCCATCGGCACAGACTGTCACAAGCCCGTATGAAAACAAAACATGCAAATAAAACCTTGTGAAGTCTGGTACAACCCTGGAAAGGCCCACATGATTCCGAATTTGAACCAACCAAAGTAGTTGGTTTGGCAACCTTTCGAAACAAAGCCAACCACAATAACATTTCTAGTCTTTGTTTCACGAAATTCTCGAGAGCCAGACCTTCAACCCCCAGGCGCCGCCTCACGGAACCCTGAACCTGCAATGCCCAAATGACCAGGCAAGGCTCTCAGATGCAGAGTCCGGCACCGGCGGCAAAAGCTCCGACAACCCCTCCATCGGCATTTGCATACCAATACCACAAAGCTTCGTTAACCAGCATGCTGAAAAAATTAAGCAATCAACCTGAGCCTGTGCACTCATGTCTTTTCAAAAAGCTTAGGGCGCCCTCCCCCGAGGGTTCCCTAGCTTCTGGTCTCGAGCCAACGCAGCCGTGGAAATCCATTTGCAAACTCCGGTCAGCTCAAACGTTCCAACCCCATGACAAACGGATCCCAGCTACATCGTGAAGTTGAGAAACATCACTAAGACAAGTTTTCTACAACAGAGACAGGGGGCCAGAGAGGATGGTTCGGGGGCTTTTTGCCGTCAACGACGGCTTTTGATCGCAAGCCGTCGGAGAGGACGTCGGCTCATTTCAGAATGCACGCCAAGTTTGAGTGATCATGTACGGTTTTACTACTGATGCTTAACGTGCTGTCGATGTCCGGTATGGTTGAAGCTTCAACCGCTTGGGGTGCGTTACCTCTACTTCGGAGGCTTATGGAGCATCTTCGGCTTTACAGCTGAGTAGCCGCTTTGCCAGGCGTTAAGGGATGTGGCATGCAACATATCAAATTTGCAGACGCTAAGGAAAGCCCACTTTGTGGCTTTCGAAAGTTTGGCTGTGGTTGCCCTGAGATATCCTTATCATATACTTCTTATCAAATTGTACAGCTTAAACGCGTTTTGAACGTAATGCTCCTGGAACTCTGAAACACTACACATCGAGACCCGAATGCCCTCAATCGCCGATCAGGGCGCCGTGCAGTTCCCCAAGCCTCAAATGATTCAGGGCAGGCATACTTTGATGTTGGATGCAAGTCGAAGGACAGACGAATGTCTCGAAGTCCTGGTTTCGGCCGCCACGGTTTGCGCACTTGTCGTTGTAGGACACTGGGGTTTGTACCGCATCGTAGGGTTTTGAAGGGACGAAGACGGCATGGGGACTGATATGGACGGATACTTATACAAGAGTGACATGGATAAGCGGTGAAGAATAAACTAGCAACTTGTTTACAAAGGACATGACAGGCTAGGGCAAGCACGATACTGCATCGCGATGATATAGTTTTTTTCCACAGTCCACCATGCCTTGAGAAGCCCGTGCAAATTAAATGAAGAGCGGAGATTCAACGAGACGTCTGGCAACTCTTGTACTTCGAGTTGTTCCTGCGGCACGGGCATGATGCGAATTCCGCATTCTCGTGTCAAAACCCAAGCTTTACAAATGAGGGACTGGTTTGGGATCACCAATGCCAAAGCGCAAACATGTTTCTGGCTGCGGCGTGGACATTTCCATTTGTTGCCGCGGTGCTTGTGCCACAAGGCTTCGTCGTTGGACTCACGTAAGAGCCTGGGCAAAAGTGTGATGGATGAAGCTAATCACAAGTGGCCAGCAAATAATTCTGAAACTGATCGCCTTGGAATCTGACGTACTGAGATAAATCGTACACATCGGCCAGAGATCATACACAAACTTATACGTAATCACCCCATGTAGTATGGAACAAAAAGTTTCTTATATATAAGCAAAGAAATACTTGAAAAATACTGGTCAGCATGAAGTGATTGTATAAAAACTCTTTCCATGTCAGCTGGCCCGTCGGGCCTCTGAATCATTTTCAGAGGTTTAGGGTGTACGGCTTAAGGCTTGGGTTTGGGGTATAGGGTCAACCTTAGCATCCACCCCACTGATGTTGCGAACATAACTCTGTGCATGCTACCACACGGTTGTCGTTGCTACCACTACTACCGCCCATGCCGACATAACTAATCATGTTTGATGTTTGTACTGGCACTGCTATATCGTTGATACTTGATCATTCTTTCCGCTTTCCTGCTACTGTCTTCGTAGACGTCGTCGTCGTGGTAGTGACGGTGAAGGCGGTCGTGGCAGTGCTTTTGCCTGTGGCGCTAGTAGAGTCGAAGCTGTCCGAGTGGCAGGCGCGGAGCGGTAGCAGCAGCACTGGCAGCAGCAGCAACTGGGGAAGGATTGGGAGTAGCAGTAGTCGTCGATAGCAAGTATTGCAGCTGCAGTGTCGGCAACAACATGAGGATTTAAGAAGTGGTAGTAGCAGTAGCAGTAGCAGTAGCAGTAGAAGTAGTAGTCGTAGTAGTAGCAGCAGGAGTAGTAGTAGTAGTAGTATCAGTAGCAGTAGTAGTAGTAGTAGTAGTAGTAGTAGTCGGCGTCGTCGTCGTAGTCGGGGTCGTAGTAGCAGTAATAAAAGTCGTCGCACTAGAAGTAGTAGTAGTTGCTGTTGTTGTTGTAGCACTAGGAGGAATAGTACCTGGACAACAATACAACTCCCGACGCGACATAGCATCGGACTGACATAATAAAGAAGCCAGATTTTTTTAATAGATCCCTTGTGATGGTCATCTTAGTTATCATGAGAAAGAACCCCTATTATTCGCTATTACCTTAGATCCCCATTATTGTAAGTCAAAACAAATCCGTGTAACAAGTGCCCAGCCTCGGCTTGCGTGTTCCCCGTCCTCTTGATCATTGCCAGCTCGTCGCTAGCCTGGGGCATCTTCCCTAGGGCCGGTGCTAAAGTACGAATGCTGACGGTAACCCGAGGGTTTAGGATAAACCCTCCTCACATATTGTGCAAACCCTATAAAACCCTACTGGTCACTCAGACAGCACCCTGAGCCCTTCAAGCCCTAGGAACTGCCGAAAAAGCTTCTGGCTAGAGAGGCGGACTCTAAACCCTCGAAGCCTCCACCCCGAATGTGATGGCATTTTCAATACCAGTATAGATGTGTACGGACTATGGGGAGGGTTTCATATCACACGCCGAAACTATCGAAACCCTTAGGGCTTGGAGGAATGCCAGCTGAGCTGCGGCCATCATAGCGTCGAAACTTCGTTCCATGGTCATGCCCACCGTCACGACCTCGTCAGGCAAACTTAGGGTGTAGAGCCCCAATCCCTAGGCCCTAAACCGAGTGTAGGGTTTCAAGCGTTTCTTGTTGTGGGATTTGGGTGCTTTTTTTGTTGATAGCTTACGGCGCTGTCTTGTCTAGGGTTCTAGCTCCCTATAATACATTCGTAACGTGGGAACCTGATCAAGAAACCCTGGGTCCTTACTAGGGTTCTTTAGGGAAGCCTCACAGTCGAACATGTATGGCACCCCTAGGTTCAATGTGGTTCAAATTTGGGTCTTGCAGTTGCTCGCCTTGTTTTTCCAATAGAGTCACAAGATGCACCCGAAAACCTTTCTTAGCCTTCTTTGGGAATTCCCGTGGCCTTCCGCTGGAATTCCCTGCATCCCCCAGGCCCAAAACCAGGAAGAGTTGAGTTTTTTTTGGTGTTCTTAGTTGTTTAGGTTTTTTTTAGTATTTTCAGTTTTTTAAGCTTTGTTTAGCTTTTGTGAACTTTTTTGTTTAACCTTTCTTAGTGTTTGTTATAACCCATAAAATCCACCGAAAATCCCACCAAAATACGAATTAAAATACCTGGCTGCCCGTGCCTGCAACCCCACTGCAACCCAGTCCTGCAAACCTGAGCTCAACCCACCATAAAGTGATGAACCCCTAAGCCCTAAATTCCAAACCCACGGTCCGCCCCAAACCCTGGACCCTTAACTCGAACCCTTCAACCTCAAGCTGCAAGGCCACTCAGAATCACGATATCAGCGCAGGAAATTCTTAGCTTTTTTTAGTTTTCTTTGGGATCTTCTCAGCCTTTCATTGTTTTTGACACAGAGCCTGAATCTCCATGGTTTTCAGGCCCTTTTCCCGTGATGGTAGAGAAGCATGCTTTGAAGCAATATGTAACGGGTCTGTTTGATAGACCTTGAACCCAGCAAGCTCTTCAGTGCCACATCCGCTCAACCCTTATCACTACGCCCCTCCTGAGAATCCCTACTTCTAAATACCCTAAACTCAACCCGTAAACCGTGTAAACCACTGCAATAACTTGTAGAAATTCCGGTCAAGCCTACAATGATGACCTTAAACCCCAAATCCCACAATTCCCGCACAGCGGCTTTTTCAAACTACAGGCCCTTTTTACTTTTTGCAACCGGTTTCGAACCCAGCAAGCCCAATACCGCTTTAGCTAATGACTATACCTTAAATGTTAAGGGGATTCAGATTTAAGCTATATTCTTTAATTAACGGGTTTCGGGCTTTCTGGGAAGGCTGCAAAGTCGCATAAACGCCCCGCCACACAACTCTCGCAAGTCCCGCAAACCCTGCCCACCCAACTCGAAATTCTAAGAGCATCAATTCACAACCCTTAAATCCCATCAATCTTCAGTCTTAAATTAAAACCTGCAAACACCCTTGCAGAACCGAGAGTCTGCAGAGTAGCGCGCCTGCACACGACAGTCGTCTCGTTCGTTTATCAAAGGCCTTGTCTATGTGTAAGTTCAAAACTTATATCAAGATTGTAATTGAACGAACAATGTTGACCATTGTTGACCCTGTATTTGTGAGTCAACCGACAATAATGCGATGATGATGTTGTTGTTGATGAAGGTGACTGTGATGGTGCTGGTGCCAAGGGTGAGGGTCAGGGTGCTGGTGCTGGCGGTGGTGGTGGGATTGTGAGGACGATCATCATCGTCATCGCCACAAGCGTGGTTCGGCCCTTGACGAGAAGTCGGATGGTAGAGTAGAAGTGCGTGGGGTAAACATCGGCGAGCAACAAACAAGTGAGGCTTGTACATGTTTCAACAACCACAACTGGAGCAGTAAGTCGGACAGGTCCTGGGATCCCTGCAGAGAGCCATCCCAATGCCAGCAGCCTCCTCCTCCGACGACGACGAGGATTCCGAGGTTGACGCATGACGGGTTGTGCAGAGGTCAAAGGTTCCCTCAAGGCTTTAGGGCATTGGAGGGTTCCCTTGCGTGGGTTGAGGAGTTTCTCAGCATTACCACTGCCTTTCGCCAGGGATAAAGGATTCATTGTGTGTGTGCGTGCGTGTGTGAAAGCTACATTCTGTGCCCAGCTTTCAATCGCGGCGCCTCAATTTTCAGTGTTCCTCGCGGTGACTCGAGGGGCTGTCAACAGAGTTTGCATCGGGCAACCAACCGGCAAAAATGCTAAAACTCCAGGCTTTGGGAAGGGTCTTTGCTCGCTTATGATGGGCATTAGCGAATCAGACGTCCAAAGGCCCTGCGGTGCCACCGGGAAGACATCGCGCGGCAACATGCCACTTTGTTTAAGATTGATGCCAGCTTCGGCAGATGCCACTCGGCCCGATCTGTGCCGCCGCAGGTTTCGCCAAAAGTTTGAAGGGGTTTAGGGGGCACGAACAGTCACACTTGCAGTCGCATCACAGTTTTTTTCTGTTTGCCGCTTGTATAAAGGTCTGGTCAAGCGATGTCCTCCACACCCGTCGACACGACAGCAGGATGACTCCAGGATGACCACCGAGCATGCATGACGAGTAATTAAGTTCGACATCTTGGACCGGGAAAGCGTAGTTCTCAAGTCAGATGGAAAATACTAAACTGCAATCTGGCAGGAGCTGCCTGCGTCCAATGTCAGGGATGCTCGAAGGCTCACTTCAAGCCCTTGAAATTTAACCATCCCGAATCCCGACTTGTTATGCAAAAGCTTAACTCCGAAAGATGGATGCCGCCTGCTCGGGGGACGACTGCTCGGGGACGACGACGAGTCGCCCTGGCGGCATAAAGACTACACAAAGTTTTGAAAAGTCAAGCGAAGTTGAAGAGCGCCGGGTCCCTACCACCATTTGGAGCACACACACACACACACACACACACACACACACACACACACCCCAACAGTCCAACCCTTTTGTTCCCTGAAAGAGTCGGACCTGCAACCGAACTTCAAGAAAGACTGCGACGTCAACTTGCCATGGAAGCTTGGTGGTTCTACGATCCCTTCATGGGCCTACCTCCGTATGTTGAAGCTATTGCACTTGGATTTAGCCGCCCATTCAATTCTCAAAGATGTCACAATTGCAATGCTGAGTGCCCGGTGCTGTTGCAAGCCGATTGCGATGCGTCGGTGAAAGGCCTCCAACAGGTTTCGCTCCTCCTTGGAGATGGCCTGACAGCCCGGCCCGGGGCTGAAGGCTTCGACAATCGAGGCTTCGGGGCTCGGGGTCGCATCACTGCAAACCCTCAAGGCTGACACGGCTCTCCTTTGTATGGGGCTGAAGGTTTCATATAAGTGCGATCTTAAATAATAAATGAGGTACTACACAACGCGGTAGCCGAAATAATCTAACTCGTACTACTGTACATGTATATGTTTGTGTATGCATATCAATATGCGTATTTCTTCCGTCCTTCCTTCATTCCTCACAAGAGACGGCTGAATGGATCGCTCCCGGAAACAGAAGCAGGCTGCTCTCCTGCTTCCTGTTTGACATGCTTGTTTACTGTTTGTGTTTGGGGCTTTTGTGATTGTCGCTGCACAGCCCTTCAAGATGCTGCAGGGGTTGGGCATTGGAATACAGGCAAATGCCGCAACTACAGAACGAAAAAGCAAGCCGAACCCTGCAAAACCCTTGAACCTACAACGCACACGCGCCAAACCCGAGACCGCTGACCATCAACCCGCAACCTCCAGCCCCTGGTTTTGCCCTTGCTGGGCAACGTCATCGTCATGCATCCAAGACACAATCACTTGCCGTCTTCGTCCTCGTTCAAATACGCATTTATCCTGGGTCCGGAATCCCACACCGGAGTTGGATGTGGGCCCTCTGTTTGGCACAGACCCTGGCGGCTCCCAGTATGAGCACTGGTAAGAACTCTGCTGCGACAGTCCGCCTTGCAATATCTACTAGGCAATCCACATATGGAAGCCATCACTAATATTCGCAGCAGCCAATGCCCAAAGGTATCTTTGCAGAATAACTCTTGTCAACCGAAGATGCAACCAAAGCGCGCACGGTCCCGGAACTTGTCGGGGGCAGCGTAACCGAAATTGAAACCGTCAGGTGCCTCCGGTCGAGGAACTGAGCACGGCGTGTATGTTGTGTGAAGCTCTGGCTTCGTGTAGACTGCCGAACACCCCCCCACAAACAGTATAGTCGTAAGCCTAAGCCTCAATCCTATCAGAACAAGTTGCTGAGCTCCGTGGGCCAAACAAGTTCACCCGTACAAATATGTATACTTTGTATACACAAAGATATAGTGACACATAGGTGTATATATACACGTACATGTACACATACATATACAAAGGCTTATACCTATGCATGTACATGTACATCGGTATCCACATCTTTACACATACACAAACACGTACACATACATCCACATCTACATCTACAGAAACGAAGAGAAAGGACTCCACAGCATACGTTTCTGCATGTGTATATATATATATATACATATATATATATATATACAGAGTAATGGGTCCAAAACAACAGGCTGTTAAAATCGTAGACCCTGCGCAGTGGCTAAGACTAGAGCGCGCGGCTGGATATAGAATTCGAATACAGTCTTGGGGTATATGACATCGTCATATTTATAATGAGGAAGAACAGCATATTCGCCAGTCTACAGTACATCATGCTCTTCCTTGTGTGTGAATACGGCATGTCTGTTCTGAAGGCTGAGCTGCATCATACATTCTTGTGTAGCAGTGGCTTGTCGTTTACGCAGTTAGAAGCCTTGCGGGTTCTTGTCGCGTTCTTACTTGTAGGGTTGCATGAGGGCGTTGTGATTATCTGATTGCAGGGTTCTTATACTGGGGAATGGGAATGCTTCAAGTGTGGCTCGAGATTGATGGTATTGCAATTCAAGCGTGTTTAGTCTGCTTACCGTTGGGGCCTCAATTGTCAATCATGCGAAAATTAACTTATAAGGTCGGCACCCTATATCGTTGACGAATACGGAAACTGCCGCAAAAGCCCAAGCGAAACCCCCCTGTCAAGAACAAACCCTAGATGCTGAACGCCCTAAACCTCAACACGACTACAGAGCCTCACACAACGAAGAAAAAACAAACCCTGAAACAACAAACAACCCCACACCTCGCCGGAGTGAACGGACGTCTTACGTCTGAACCTGGACCCGTAAATACAAACCCTCCTGCAGAGCCGCGAGAAATGTGTGGTCCATGCTTTCGTCGCGGTTCCACTTGACCTGAATCATTCTAACATGTACTTTTGTTCCATATGCCCTCAAAACCTAAACCCAAAACCGCAAAAAGCCCGAATCCTAAGCAGCAATAAGCCGGAGTATTAAAGTTATTAAAAGAACGGGCTTCGCCTTTCGAAAATGCAGTCCGAGAATCTACCTGAACCCGCCGCCGAGGCGGGGTCAGGTCCCTCTTTCGCAGCCACAGGTAGGCTGCCATCCTTTGGGGATTTGATTTAGAAGGTTTAACAGGTGTTCACAGGGTCCTTTTGCGGGCTTGTAGATTTTATAGCCGTAGTTAAAGCACGTGAGTATGATTCTCAAGCCATGCATGGTATACCGTAACTGTATCCAAGCCACGCGAGGTTTGGTGGTTGCAGGGGTATTGTCAGCACGTTGCCCTGCGCTGGCAGATAAGTTGTCCAGGCGCGTCTTGACTCTGCGGCCCCGTCTGCATCCCTGTAAATGTAATACTTCGGCAACAAAAACAACCCCACACCTCGCCGGAGTGAACGGACGTCTTACGTCTGAACCTGGACCCGTAAATACAAACTCGCCTGCAGAGCCGCGAGCAATGTGTGGTCCAGTCGGTTGTCGACTGGCCAGCGGACCTGAATCATTCTAACATGTATTTTTGTTCCATATGCCCTCAAAACCTAAAGCCAAAACCGCAAAAAGCCCGAATCCTAAGCAGCAATAAGCCGGAGTATTATAATTCTTTAAAAAACGGGCTTCACCTTTCGAAAATGCAGTCCGAGAATCCACGCGGACACGCCTTGGTGCTCTTCTGGGGATTCTTCCCGATCCTTTCTTCGTCGCTTTGCCTGACACGAGCGAGTGCCGTTTTTAGGTTTTGGTGGCGCGTAGGGCTGAGGGGTTGAGGTCAAGGCCCATCTTGATTTTCTTGGGGTCGCTGCTGCTGAACATGACGATGATGGTCATGGCGATGCTGATGCTGCTGATGACCTCTCTAGTGCGAATTTCTACCTTGAGCCCTTAAGTAGTTAAGGTCTTGGGTTGAGGGTTCAGGGTCCAGTGTGTTTTTTTGGCTTGTAATTAGGCTTAAGTGAGCTTCTCCCAGTGTTTGCTTTCGTCTTCTTTCCAGGGGGTGCGTGATAGGGCCTAACCTCCAAAAGGCTTTGAACCCTATGCCCTTGGTGCAAGACTCATTTCGACGGTGAGCCTCTGGGATCTTCGCCTTTTCCTCGTCTTCGTCCTCCTCCTGGCCGGGTTTGAACCAGACCGCTAGCAGAGGCTTTAGGATTTAGGGTCGAAGGGTTAATGATCAGTGGCCGTTGAAAATAGGGCTATGAGTAAACTAAGAATGGTTAAATTAGACTAGCCGGAAGACTGGAAATGACTGGAAGACCAAGGAGCGCCTATGCCTCTTCAGGTCGGGCGGGCCGGGAACCCCCAAAACCTGCGAATGTTCCTTAACCTAGAAGGCCCAAAAGGCGCAAGAGCCAAGATGCTGCCTCCGACGCAGGAGTGTGTGAATACGGCATGTCTGTTCTGAAGGCTCAGCTGCATCATACATTCTTGTGTAGCAGTGGGTTGTCTCTTACGCAGCTAGAAGATGCATGGGCATACAGACAGTCATTCCGCATGCTACTGCACACGACTTAGGTCGATGGATCTGTACTCCGTGCGACTGCTACACATTTCAGCGTGCGTTTAGGGGTATGGACCCGTGTCCTCTGTGTCCTGCATAGTACCTTGACAGTTTATTTGTTGGGATTGTGTCTTGGGTTGTTGTGATCCTTGTTCCACAAGGATTACTCCAGGGTCCTACATCGGGCTTCCATCTTTGTGAGAACTTCCATCAAGCCCTATTACAGCCCAAGGGAAAAGGAAAACACCGATCCCACAGGTCGAAAATAAACCTCAGCATTTTTTCTGTTGCCAAGAACTTCTCTTGGCAAACTATTCTCAACCCACGTAGGTAAACATGTTCACCCCTAGGGCGAAATCTTGCAGGCAGCTCCCGCGCACTTATAAGCCATATCCGGAACACTAACGTGTAGAGACCAAGTACGTTGTATAAACGTACACGTGTGCAGATGCAGCAGGAGAGACTAACCGGAAGCTGGAAGACCAAGGAGCGCCCTGAACATTAAAGCCTATGCCGCATATGCCTCCTGGGCCAACGCCACTCGGAGCGCCTGCTCGAGTGGCTTCTGAGTCTACGGAAACGAATGGAGTGGCTCCAATACATAGCTCCATGAATGAGTTTAGGGTTTTGAGACCATGTAACACCAATTCAACTTATTGAAACTCACTGTTACAACCACATCCCCTGCAGGTTCGGATGATCGGATGCTTCACATTGCTCGAATATACAACCTGGCCCCCAACGCCTCTTCTCTGAGAAGCTGGTCGTCCTCGTCCTTCGTGCGGGCGAGAGAAGGACACACACACCCCTCGCAACAAGGTAGCAGTGGTAAGTTCATCAAGGCGTCTCGTATCGGTACCGGTGCACACAATATCGTCGTCGCAAATGGCTTGTTCTTGCAGCAACGAAGAACTGACGGCGAGTATGTCTTGCTACATGCACGCCTTGGCATAACATGAGCTTCTCTAATTCCACAACCCTAGACTTTAAATAAGCCTATACCCCAAACCGTACACCCCGCTCTGCGGACTGCCTCACAGGTCAAGCTTTGAGGCCTGGGACAAACTCGGGGTGTATTTGACCTTCAATTCAATACCTGGTTAATCACGTGCTTCTGCAACTTCAATAGGGTTGTGGGCTTTCGAGTTTGCAAAGGTTTACTGTTTGGGGTCTGGGCCTGCCCTTCACCCAAACACCTTTGAATCCACATGAGGCCCCAAAAAGTTGGGCTATGGTGGAGCATGCAAGACAATCCCAGACAATCCCTGGACCGTGGACCCTCACACCTTTTAAGCACGGGCTTGGAGCGTATGCCGGCACCCAATGAGCAAACCCTCACCCTAAACCCCGAACCCTAAACTCCAAAGGATTTTTTCCGAGCCCTGGCCGAAACCAAAAATCACCAAAAGTGGCGCCCCAAAGCCTTGTCAGAGACCGAGGCAAAGAACGAGCATTCTGGTGACCTCGTTGCTTGGGGCTTTTGATTCAAGCAGGGCTTTTGGTGGTCAGAGCTGATGCGCGCGTGTGTGTGTGTGTGTCGTTGGGATATGGAGCGAGATCAAATCGTACGATTGGTTGACGGGGATTCGCAGGCTTTTGCAACATGGCAAAATGTACTGTGTAATTAAGCTTTCTGAGCAAGGACTCTACATATGCATACGCTCATACACACACATACATAACATAAGATCATGACTGTGATTTAAAACTAATATCTGTGGAATGCTCCGCCATCAGCGGGAAAGCATCACGTTGTAATGGCAGTGCATTCGCACATGTCTTCAACAACTTCGAATGATAAGCTTCGGAATGATAAGCTTCGAACAGTGAAATCACTGTCTTTGCCTTGAATGCAAATCCCGCTGGAAGGCACGAACTTTTTGGAAATTCCCACGGATATGATTTCTGAATGTGGCTAGGTATACGTGTCCAAAGCCTAGGCAAGGTGACCATCACGCCAACAGCACGAGAAACCTTCGTAAATGCTTTGGCCTGATGGCTAGAGTGCGGCTTTTGGGGGTGTGCTCTCCTCTACTGGCGACCAGACAGAGATGAAGCATGAAATAAACAGTTTTCGAACATGACCCGCCCTCAACGCCCAGAAACGGTTTCCGGAAGCGTAGACCACAGCCCCTACGCCCGTCAAGCCGTGAACCCTACTCCGCGTTCACAACTCTTAACCTACTCTCTAGACCTTATAAACCCCCTAAAACACCCAACCCCTGAACCCCCAAAAGCGTTCAGCATGGTACTTTAATTATAGAGCCAAGAGTTGGAGATAACCTTAGCAACTTGTAAGAACTTATCCCACGAAGATCTTCGCACGTATCTGTTCAGTCATAGGTGACTGAAGCCAATATCCGCATATCTGAAGTTTGCTAGCGATTGCTTTTTATTTCAACTTCTTGTCCACGACAGTGGCCATCTTATCCCTGGAAAGGGCAAGTCATGAAGGTCGCCAAGCTTCGGGCGATAAGGTGGCAAAGTCCGCATACTTGGGGTTGGGGTTCGGGCTCAGGGACACATGGCGAAACCGTCAAAGCCTTTTAACGAAACCCATCGTGGACCTTTGTCTGGGACTTGAGTACATTTACGGTTCTGCGCTATGCAACGAATCAGCACGATAGTAGCACACGTCGGACAGTACTCACGAACGTCTTGTCGTGATGGTTCTACGATCTTCCTTAAAGGGGGCTGTTTTTTTTGCGAACTCCTCCAAGTTTCTGCGCCGTTAGCTTCCGGACACTGCCGGATGTGTCAAGTACACACACACAAGACTTGAAAGTCCTGTAAGCGCTCAAGATCCCAAACCCCACAGCCCCCTAAACAACACCCGACCCAACATCGCAATTTCAGGCTGCAGATTTCAAGTTACGAGGCCAGCAGCCCCTGAGTTTCTGGTTGAGGGCGCTGCGGCCAGCTCCTGAGAATGCGAGGCCGCCACCTCGGGATCAGTCGGTCTTTACCGTGGGTTGGGAGGATGTTGCAGTGCATTATTGCATCTACCTACCCTACATGTACATGTAGATGTAAGCCTTCCCAATTCGAGCGTCTCGTTCTTCTCAGAGACCACCAACAGCCTATAAACTTGCAGACTCCTACGCCTATGCCAGAAACACCTCCGCCAGTCTCGTAATCCCTCTAAAGCTTACCGCACTTTATTATGCTGGAGATGTCCCGCCGATTGATGCGATACAATTCAAATTTCACTGTGTCAGGATCTAGGGTGTATTCCGTGGTGCCGACCAGGAACTCCGGCCTGAACCTGTCTCCTGCTCACCTTTGTGACTGCTGCTCTCTGTAGGTACTGGGAGCACTCAGCGATGTTCGCTTGGCCGACCTAGCCTAGGACCTAGCCTTCTTGTCATTGATGCCTCATTCATTTCTCGTTCGTGTCCTGGTTTTTGGAGCCAAGAGAAGCACTCGTCCCGAATACGCAAAACCCTCGGTACGCTCTCGCAACTCGGACTCGGCAAACACCAATTTCTTGATAGTCTCTTGAGGGCATGTCGGGCTGAAGGGTGTGGGTGCCGTGCGGCTTCGAGGCAGCTGTTGCGTGCGGCACAAGCTACCTGAGAATCGCATATACAAGCAAATGGGGGTGGGCTTTTCGTGTTAATCTCTCTGGCTGTCAGAAGACCTTCGGCCGTAGACCGACTGTAGAAGATCCTGTTGCCGCAGGCTCAGTTGTCTTGATATTCGAGGCTTTCTGAAAACGCCTGTCCGGAAACTACCAGAACATCACAAGACGCTTCAGCGAATGGCTCTGAGCTCATCCAGCCAAGAAAAGGCTTCACTCAGACTTTTGTGATCCCCAAACCGCGCTGAGCAGCTCCAGGTACCCCTGAACCCGTCGCGTACTGCTACTTTACTACTACTGCACTACTACTGCACCACTACTGTACGACTGCTGTACGACCACTGTACTGCTACTGTACTGCTTCTATACTCTTGCTGCACGAAAACTGTACTACTCTACTACTATTGTGCTACCGTTGTATTGCTGTACCGTTGCTACTGTACAGTACCGGGCCTCAGACCCCGTCGCTTGTGGAGGGGAGTGTAAGTTGGAAGGAAAGGTCGTCAAGATGAAGGGTTTTTAGTCTGGGTATTCATTTTTTAGTGACCAAGCCCCCGGACCCCCCAAGACCCTTCTAAGTTCCACCCAGACCCCAAGTTGAAGATGCCGAGCCAAAATGGTCGGGGGGGAAATTAATCACTTCACCCGTTGATTAAACACGCCCCCTGATACATCAAAACACATTGCGGCGAATCCTGCCGAAATCACCCCTGCCATTTCAAACCTAATTTGCTTTAGGGGGGTCTGAGAGCAAGAGCTGGAGTAAGATTAAAAGCAAACACAAAAGCAGCAGCAACAGGAAGAGCAAGTGCAGGCGCAACAGCGAGAGCAACAGACGCAGCAGGAGCAGGAGCAAAAGCCTGCGCAGAAGCAAGAGCAAAAGTCCTCAACAGTGTGGATATAAGAACACATTTTAAAATCAAAACACGTTCCGAGTTCTTTGGGGGGGTTGCCGGACTGCCCCTTTTTTATGAGGGGAAAGGCTTTAAGCAGGCACAAACATTACCCACACACACCATGCAAACAATGCGAAAACATGAAAGCATGGTTGTCCCGCTCTAGGTATTGTTCGCAGGGGTAGCCTTCGTTCAAGTTATCCATCATTGGGCCTCCGCGTCGCTCGTCCCTGCACCATATGTTCTGCGCTGCAGGGTCTCCACCTGCAAGTTTCCCAAAAACTGCCACAACAACCCAAGCTTGCAAATGTACTCCAGTGCGCGACAAATCTTTCCTCATTATCGGCTTCATGCCAGCACAACCAATGTACTCCGATTATGTTCTTGACTTGCAGCACGGACGTTCCATACATGTCGCATAACAACCCGTGTTCTTGCCCAGTCTTGTGGATTGGGTAGGACAAAGTGACGGGGCACCATGGCAGAACACCTAGCTAGCACCCATAAACAACACTGCATCCCCCACTAGGGTCACTAGGGCAAGACAACCAGCGAACAACACTGACTAACGACCCGTAAATACTGTTGGACTTAAAACAAACCGAACGGAAAAGCCCAGAAGCCACACTTACAACATGTCAGCCCCGACAATGTTGAGTTGCTTCTGTGACCTTGCTTGTCCAACATCCAGCGATGCTACGACGTATGCCACCAGGATCGCAACGGTGCAGATTGGAGCAAGCTACTCTGATGACACAACAGACATGCCAATAAAAACCTCTGGTGCAGCCCTGGAGAGCGCTACACGAAACCGGCCACGAGCTAAAGCAAAAGAAAACCTAACACATGAACTTTTCCTTTCTTTGCTCTCCACGCACGAAACCCGAAAACTGGATCTTCAACCCCAACAACCCCTCAACCCCAGAATCCTGAAACTTGCAAAGGCTCAAAAAAACATGCTGAACAGGCAAGCCTCCCAGATGCGAAATCCGGCAGCGGCGGCAAACTCCATCGCTAATGGAACGAATCAGCAAAGTGGCGCTGAAGCAAACGTCACGAGGCAATCAGGCTTTACAGTTGGGTAAGAACACCGAACGCCAACCTTGGGCGTATGAGTCAACAGTATGGCGTACACGTGTCCATGAACGCCCAGCCCTCCCTCGAGGCTCCCCAAGCCTCTGATTTTGAGAAAACACAGCCGTGAAAATCCAACTTGCAGCCTCTGCTCGACAACTGGATCGAATCTCATCGTGAAGTTCAGAAACCGTGCCAGCACCATGTAAGGTTTCTGCGACGGCGAGAGACGACGCATTGCGGCTGTCTGTGCTCAGCGCACAGATTCCGGGCACATCAGTGTAGTGACGTGTAGCGGCGCAGTTTCTTAAGCATGGTCTGGTCCAGAGATCAATGTCTGTATTTGGCTTGTGCGAACCCGAACCCGGTGGTTCTAGCGACAAGCCGTTGGAAAGCTTAGACGAAGGTCCCGAAGGCGCTCTTTTCCTGCTGTCGGCAAAGGTAGAGAACCAAAGCCAAAGCCGTCCATCGGTCAGGGAACCTACGCATAGGGTCACCTAGGTCAAACTAGGTGGCGGCCCATCGACTGCAACAACAAGCCCGAGGGATATACGTGAGATGTCACACATCCATCCGGGTACCTGAACTCCCATGTGTTTCCGTCGAAAGTGCGATACCAAAGCCGCAACCTGGGAGAGACCTGTACAAGCTGCTCACAATGAGCTGTACTTCACGCAGAGTAACTGCCTTGCAGTTACCGACTCTCCGGCGGCCCGAGCCGTGCAAGAAACCCTTCTTAACACAAGACTTGACTCGGAAACTCTTTCAACAGATTTGGGATGGCGTAGTGCCAGATTTCCAGCAGGACGGAACGCAGATCCGGCTATTTCGAATTTCCTTGGATTCCGGTTGATGGCCCGGATATCTTAAACAGTTGTGCGCCGAGCTTCCTGGTCCAGAGATGTCGGAAGTTCCTTGTCCATCCCGTGCCAACACGTGGAAACACAGAAAAGGGCGAATCGAAGTCTTCTCTGGACGAGGGCGGCTCCGAGCTGGCGTTGGCCAGCTCAATTCCGTTTCTTGGGACTTTGCTGCTCTTCAGCGCATGAGCTAGG